AGAATGGGGGTACCAACAGGCGGTTGGTGTTTATTGTAGGATACTGACCATCAGTCAATAAAACTTCCCTGAATACGTTTGCATTTTCGATGCCCGTATTACACTTGGTGAGCCAAGCTCAGCTAGTACTTTTATGTGGTGAGGCTATAATCTGGACATCTTGTATTGAATAAAGGAATGTTTAATTACCTCTTATTTCAGTAATGATATCTCATAAATTTAATTGTGCCTCGCTGTTTATAAAGATAAAATACCACTGTGTTTTAGCCTTAATCTATTTGTATGCAATCTTGCTTCCAAGGGCAATATAATTAGTTGCTTATCTGTTTGGATGATTATGTATGAAGCTTGAGCTGAAGCTAAAAAGTTAATTGAGTTTTGTCTCGTGACCTATACGAAAGCCTATATTTTCAGTGCCTTGAGCAGAGGGGCAGCCTTCCTGCGGGAGGCTAATACGTCCCCATCCTTCTCATAAACCACATGGGTAGCTATTGCTCTTACAGAAGATTTTTATATTCATATACACCCCTGCAATCTAGGGTTAATATTATCCCCCTTTTTGGGATGAACATAAGGTTGTAAAGGTTAAGCGACTTGCCTAGGATCATCCAGCTCATAAATGGCAGAGCCAGGACTTAACCTTAGGCGTTCTGATGCCGCATCAGGTGTTCTGGGAAACCATAAACTCTGCATGGTGGTCTGATTTGGAAAGGCTGGCAAATTCTGCTGGAATCTCAGTGGGATGGTCTCTGTTTGTATGAACAGTAATCACATTACCATTATGTGGAGAGTTCTGTGTGCCAGGCACTGTGCCAATTGCTTTACAAGCACCCATCCTGTGGGGCGGTACTATTATCCTCATTTTACAGTTGAGGAGACTGAGGCCTGAAGCAGACCATCACTTGGAGTGGCGGAGCTTGGACGCAAACCCATCTGCGGTCACGCTCGTGCACCCACCAGACCTCTCAATGATCTCGGCAGTTCTCTGTCTTTGTGTCGGTGATGTTGTTCTAAAGGCCTCCTTATGTCCTGGACTCTGGGCTCCTGCTGCCTAATTGAAACCTCGTTATTGTTGCCGCTCCCCAGGTCACAGAGGGACCTCTCATGGCCCACCAGCGCTCGGCCCTGCAGCCCACTGCAGACAGGACCCCTACCCTGAGCTGTTGCTTGTTCACCAGTTATTACTGAGGGAGGCATCTTAGTTTCTCCTCCTCCTCGGACTAATTCACTTACATCAGAAAGGTCCCTCTTCTGCTCTGAATTTTCACCTGTAAGGAGGGGACAGGAATAGGGGGCGGAGAGCAATGCAAATGCACCGCCCACCACGGAGAGCAATGAATAAGCAGAGCCCAGTGCTGGAGAAAGTCCTGGTTTCGAGCTCTGGCTCAGTCGTTGCCTGTGGGGTCTTGAGCGAGCCTCTTTTTTTCTCTGGGCCTCAGTTTCCCCTTATCCAAAAAGAGGCAGTTGGATTAGATGGTTAATACTTCTGATTTTATAAGTGACCTGATATTTGCGTACTCCTGCTAAGGGGAAGCAAGAGGGGAAGGAGGGAGGAGGGAGGGAAGAGAGGGCTTCCTGAGGAAGCAGCGTAGGGCCGTACAGGACAGACGCACAACAACAGCCCAGGAGGGGCTTGGAGGAGGGTGGAGGGCCCCTCAGATACTTTTTCTATAGGGGCTGCCCCAAAGTTGGGAAGGCATCCCTCTTAACTTTGATGTTCCTGATTCTGGTCCACAGTCCCACATATACAGTCAAAACAATTTAAATGGACCTTTTAAACCTCTTATTTACTCTTATAATAACATCAGTGTTCTTTTGAAAAACGTGTGAAAGTACAGGTAAGCAAGAGTAATGGATCTAGACCAAGAATCTTCAAATTTCTTTTAACTTTGTACCTTTGCAAGTTCTATACATTATAAACCCCATTAAAGTGCAAATTAAGAACGCTAAGAGAGCAGCGGTAAGGAAAAAGACCTCAATTACCCGAAGCCCGTTGATTATCAGGCACCCATGTCCCGTCTGGGGACTGTTGGCCTAGAATCGTTCATATCTAGTGTCACTGATGGTGGGTTCTGAGGAAGCCGAGGGCAGACTGACAGGTCTGTCTGCCAGGCACTCAGCTCTGTGGCTCCTATCAGGAACGCCGCCCACATTCTGGGCTGAATGAATGGAGAGTGGGGGAGGGGAAGCTTGGCTCTGAGCCCTGGGGGAAGGCAGAGACCTGGCTGCAGCAACATTCCCTCCTTGGGGGCAGGCTCTGCACCTCACTTGCCAGGCCAGGCCCTTCAGAGCTGGAGACGCTGTGTTTCTGCAATGTTGAGGCAGCAGCCCACGTTTGAAAAGCCACAGGATCACAGAAAGTCGAGACTGAACATGATCATAGCCTGTCTAGGGACATGCCCAGAAAATCGGCTTGCACCCCAAATTGGTGTGCTCCAAATTTCATGGCTAGTTTGTGATTAGAAGGAAATCCTCATGTTAGACAGTGGGAGCACCTATAAGGCATTTAAATGAAAGTATTGAGAAAATCCAGATTGCCTAATGAGTTCCCAGCCATTCAAGCAACTGCAATCTGTTGTCGTGATGACTCCTGTTTTGTGAGCAGGGCTCTTTTGCAGTTTAGGATATCTGATGAGTAGCTCTACCCAGACTCAGAACAGATAGATTACAAAGGTTCCTTCATGGGCTTTAGGAGCTGTGGGACTGGTAGTGGGGCTCCCTGAAGCATGTAAAAAAGTATAGAACGCCCCCCCCCTTAACTTCATATCTCTACCGTGTGTATATGTGTATTAGCATGAAATAAGCATGTACACAAATTTAACACACACAGTAGGTTTCAATAAATGTTAATACCTTTGTGCTCCTTTGTGCCTTTGTCCTGGCTGTCCCCACCCCGCCGTCAAAGCCCTCTGTCCGTCTGAGTTCTACCTCCTTCGGACTCTGGAGCAAGCCCTGCTTACCCCAAATTCCTCCAGCACTTGCTGTTTGGACCACGCAATTTAGGGCTTAATTACACCCAGCCTTGCATCGTCCTCTAATTGTTTCACTGTGTGCCTGTTGCCCTGTCCCCACCCCATTAGTGTTTATCCACCCACCCCTGCCCCCCCGCACCCTGGCCAAGGGGGCCACACGCAGGAGCCCGGAGCCAGGAAGGCTGGACTCAGTCCTATCTCTGCTGGTCCCGAACAAATTAGTTAACCTCTAGGTTTGTTTCTTCAACTGCAACGTGGAGACAATTGACACCTCATCGCTGTTGCTGGGGAAAATGGGTGTGAAAGTGCTAAAATGTAAATCGCTGTAGAGTGTAAAGGGCTGTTGTTATCATTTCTGCTGAATACACTGGAGCCCCCACATGCGTCCCTGTCTGCTGGAGTGTAGATGATAAATACCTGATTGATTGAATATGGAACAGTTTTGTGACAGCTCCTGTCACAGGCCCCAGAGAGCACGGGTTTGAGCCTGATTCTGCGATTACTCCCTTCATCGGCAATGCAAAATCTGCATTCTCGAAATCCCTGAGTACATTCAACCTTCAGCTGATAAAGCAGAGGCTGCCACCCTGCAGAGAACAGAGCTGCACCCCCAAAATGACCCCAGGCTGCCCCACAGTGCTCTTGATGGGCAGCACATGGGACAGTGGTACCTGGTGGTTGGGGACAACAGTCTTTCCAGGGACCCTCCCCTGCAGAAGACTCGGCAAGCCCTAAGGAACACCAATCCTTTCTGTTAACAGTATCACAGCATCGGTGGAAATGTATACACTATTTCCCTGCCACACTTGATAAACACAACAGATGAGTGTGCCTGCAGCCGCCGCCCACAGGCGGTGAGAAAGAGCAGCAATTTCTTTGGGTGGTTTTGATAAGCAGCCAGGCAGTTACTTTTCCCCTCTGTGTTGAAAACTCCAGTTACGGCTTGCTGGCGAATGCCGTGCAAAGCTCATCTTTTGTTACTCTGCTGAACAATGTTATTGGTTATAATTGGGGCAATTATGGGCTGCTGGGGGAAGCAAAACACAGATGTTTAAGCCAGGATCAGGGTATTCAAGTCCAAAGCAGCTGGCTTTAAATAGTCCATTTCCCAAATCATCCTGCCTTACTTGAAATTCCCCCAAAACTTGCCCATGATCGGAGGGAGATGAGGGGAAGCAGGGATGGGGAATGGAGGGAGGGAACCGCCAGCGCGCAAGGAGCGAGCCGCACAAAGACAGGAGGCTGAGCGACAGCGAGAGTTGGGCTGACTTTCCGACGTGCTATATTCCACGGGACCTGGGCAGAGACCTTAGGCGGGGAAGACTGTGGGTTCCAGGAGAAGGATGCAAAGACAGGGGAGCAACCGCCAAAGAAGTCAGGGTCCAGGAGTCCAAGGTCATCCCTGCAGAAATCTACGTGGAATTCACAACCGCGACCGCGTTCCGCCCCGGACTGGCCGAGAACAACGCCCCACTCCGACGTTCCCCACCTCCTTACTAGCAATTTCTATGCAGTGCGTAAGGGATAAGGGTGCCTGCCCTCGGAATTAAAAAACACAAAGCCAAATCAAGTTCAGTGATATGCTGAAAACCAGCCAGAATACGCTGTGGGGGAAGGAGAGAAAGAAAGTCAGCCACAAAGAGAAATTCCTCACAAGGGTGCGGGGGGCTTCCCGAGGGCTGCCCCGAAAGGCAGCCCCCAGCCCCCGCAGATGCCGGCCTCTCGCCTACCCCCGACACCTGTCCTCCGCCGCAGCAACGACAAAGTAGGGGCCACACCTGGGGAAGCAAAACTTTTCCTCATTTCCAAGTTCAGCTCTTGCTTTTGCTGCATCACTTTTTAGGATAAAAACCTCATCCCACCCTTGCCCCCTCATCCGAGCACTGAGACTAAGACACGGAGAACGCAAACATCATCTCGCAGGGGGCCAGCAGCACCCACCCTGGGAGAGAGGCCGAGGGGAGCCCCGCGCCCTGCGCCTGGGGCGCGGCAGCGGTCCTGGGGCCGGGGACGCATGCAGCCGCCTACCTGGGAGCTGTCAGCAGTGGGGCGCCTCCGACGCGAGGCTCGGCTCCGCGCTGGAGCAGCCACACCGGCTATATATCCGCACCCCCCCACCCGCGCGGCCCTCCCTCTCCCTGCCCACCTCGATGACACGCACACGCGCTGACCCCCTTAATCAAGGGAGCAGCGCAACCCGCGCTCCTCCTTGGCCCTTCCGCCCTGGCTCTGCGCTCGGCCCCAGGACACCTACCGCCCCGACAGTCCATCCTCAAGCCTGCTTTACCTGGACTCTGCTCAGCCAGGATCCCACAGCTGCCTTCCCTTCGCTTCCAGGGTCCTGCAGGACCGACAGGGGCTCTGGCAAGCGTCAGACCAGGGGACTCCTGTGGCAGTGATGAGGCAGACCCTCACCCTGGAGCCTCCTGGAACAATCTCCCTGCCTGAAGGGTGAAGGAACGCAAGTGGGCAGGAGGCAGGGAAGCTCCGGCCCAGCTCCCACCGGCACAGGGGAGCTCAGAGCAGAGCTGAACCAGGAGACTTCCAGCTGCCCCGGCCCCTAAGCTGCACCAGCAAGGCCACTCAAGGGAGTGGCTCTTTCTGCCCTGGGCCAGGTCAGGAGGCACTTCACAGGTGCCCGCAGCTCTGTGCAGGGTAAAATGCAGAGCCTTTAGACTCAGGACGAAGTGTCTGAAATGCTGGCTCTCTTGACAGAGCAAGACACTTCTCCCTGCAAACCTGGGGTCCTCCTTCTGAAAAATGGGCGTAATACCTCCCAGGATGGTTGTGAGTAGGAAAATGAGATCCCGTTTGTATCCAGAACATGAGACCTTTAGTAAATGTGAATTCTGCATCCCTTTCATGCTTTTTCACATTAAACAACACCAACTGAACCTAGAAGTACAACCGCTGTACTTTTAGGGGGCACCACCAAGTGCCCCCAAGTCTCAGAAGCTGTTGAACATGTCCCTGGGCTCAGGCTGCAGCCTCCTTCCCTTCCCCACGGGAAGGTAGCTTCTGGGCAGCCCATCCAGGGATGTTCAGATGCTGCAGCATCTTTGTGGATCTGCCTTTCTCTGCCTTAGGCAAACTGCACCAGGACCTCCTCCTCGGCTCTCCCAAGAAGAGTCCAAAGTCTCCCAAAGCCCAGGGTCCGAGCCTGTGCCGTCCAAGGAGCTCAAGCACCCTCGTAGGTGGCCATCTGTTGTCCCCATGGATCTGCGACCAGGTGGAGAGGAATTAAAGAAAGCATCTGCTCTGACTGCTAATGGGTATGGGGTTTCTTTCTGGGGTGATGGAAATGTTCTGGAATTAGATACTGCTGACGGTTGCACAATATAGTGAATACACTAAAAACCACTGAACTGTATGCTGTGAAATAGTGAATGTTATCTGAATTATATCTCAATAAAAAATGTATAGAAAGAAAGCACCTGCCCCAGACTAAGAGCAAATTCTAAGAATAAAACTTCCCTTTTATCTGTATTCACAGCACAAGCGCTCAGGAGAACAGTGTACTCATGATTTCTCACTCAGATCTTGATTGCCCGAACCTTACCTTTGTTACTACAGGTCAAAGCCAACAGTGTGAACTCTGAGAAATTGACATGACATGTGATAAGTTTTGCATCTTTCTCTATGTTGGGGTCCCAGGCCTGGAGCTTGATATCACACATGCTGTGGCAGATATCACTGGTTGCCTACCATTCTCCATTCCCCTGTTCTTCCTTACCAAACACTACCCTTCATTTCACTTTAGGGGGGTGGTCCCTACTAAAAGGTGACACTTCCCAAACTTCCTTGCAACTAAGGGTATCCAGTGAGAATCAAGCTGGTAGTCAGTGGGTGGGACCTCCAGGAAAGCTCTTTTAAAGGTGGCCAGTTCAGCTAGAATTGGCCTCTTCTTTGCTTTCCTTCCTCCCTAGATCACAAATGTGATGGCTGGAGCTCTAGGAGTTATTTTGGATCATGAGACAACTCTGAGGATGAAAGTCATGGATAAAAAGTGATGGAGCATAAAGATAGAAGGATTCTGGGTCCCTGATAACTCTGGATCTGCCATACCAATCCTCCAAATTGGATGTCCAACCTCCAATTTCTTTTTAAAGAGGAAAAAAACAAACACTTATTTCAAATGTTGGACAGGGTTCAGCTGGCTGTTGCTGCATAATGATCCACACCAAAGTCAGAGGCTTAAACAATAAAGCATTAATTTAGGTTGAGGTCATCAGGGCAGTTCTTGGGCCTTCAGTTTGGGTCCCTCGTGAATCTGCAGTCCTCTGCGTGTTAGCTTCAAGAGGTTGGCTGGCTGTCAGCAGGGGGCACCTGGGTTCTCCATGTGTATCCTTCACATGTTGCTCATATCCCTTCAGCAGGCTGGCCAGGCAAGGCCTCATGGCAAGGCTCAAGTGGAAGCACAGTGGGACAAGGAACCAAGCAGAAGCATGTAGAATCCCTTGAGGCCTAAGATCAGAGCTGTCACTTCATTTCTTCTGCGGCGTTTACTGGCTAACGGCAGTCATGAGGCCAGGCCAGAGCCAGGCTGGGTGGAGACTCCAAAGTCACAGTACAGAGGCTGTTCACCGGACCTTGATAACTTTAACTGGCCATGTTTTGTTTAAAACACTTTTTGGATTTTCTGTTACATGCTCGAGAAAATCATCTTAAATGATGTGCCTGCCTTTGAGCACCTAGTTATTCCCGGGGGGTGTCTGGGAGCCAAATGCTTTTGTTCCCTTGCAGTTGAGGGAAAGAAAAAGTAAGAGTGATAAGTCACAACTTCTCTGAACTTCTCCTTCATTTGCCAAATGAAAGTGTTGAACTAAATGACCTGAAGTCCGCTTTGGGTTGAATGAAGCTGCCTGTCCTGGTGGCTGTCTTCTAGAAAGCATGGAGGGGATGGGCAGGAATGAACCCAGGGAGGGAGTCTGCAGCTGGGTGCTCTGAGAACCTTGCCTCTCAGGAAAGCAAGAGCCCACTTAGAAACGGTGCAAATTTTGTGGGGCTCACAATCACTCAGAGGCTGTCTCAGGGCACTTTGCTGCTGAATCACAGAGCCTTGGGCTCTGGGGCTTTCCTGGGTTGCAGTAACCGGTCACTGAAGTGGCGAGCTGCCTGCTGCCCTGACTGACAACATGGATCTGCAGAAATCGTTGGAGGGGAAAGGTCACACCGCCTTATTTCTAGAGATTAGGAAACAGGGCAGTCACTTCTGCCCAGGCCAGCTTGCCATCCTCCTGCAACAGGGAGGCCCGTACCCCGGTGGCTTCAGGAATTAGACTCCATTCAGGTAAGTTTTGAGAAAGATTCAGAAGCTCTTAAAACAGTCACCAGGAAATTTCCGTAGAGGGAGTACAAAGGGAAGAAGGTAGCTCTAGCTGGGCTCCCACGCTGAACTCCAGAACCTCCACCCACCCAGCAATTTTCCCTGCTAAAGTACAGAGCTGCTCACCACCAGGTATTTGGGCTGCTAGGAATTTTCTGATTAATTACAGCACCTACGGTGGCCGAACGGTCTCCTTGGTAACCACGCCAGCAGGGTCCCAACTGGAAAAGCTGCTTCTTATTTTCAAAGAGGGCAAACCCATTGCACATGTGAAAGCACCTTAGATCGGAACATGGATTTTTAACATAGAGAGACACCCATGTTTCTCCACAACTTTGCTTCCAAAAACGGATGGGCTTTTGTGCTATTGAGGGAAAGTTGAATTTTAGTGAGCAGTAAGAGTGAGTGATCAGTGAGTAAATAAATGAAAATTTAGGCAAATACAAGTTCCAGGCACACAGTCAATTATCGCCTTCATGTGTGTAGGTTTTATGACCCATAGAGTCCGGCCGAGTGCTGTGCTAGATGTTGTGAGAACAAAAGGGAGCTGGACTCAGGTGTCCTCACTCTCCAGAACCTGGCCCCAGGGACAAGACATATGCTCCTGAGTGGTGGCCAGGACTGCACATGCTGTAGAGGCTCCGACGGCTTGAGAGTTAGAGACACATAATAAGGTGCTAGTTGTAGGTCAGACTGTAAACTGAAAGAGAAGTTCAAGTGAGAAGGGAGAGATGACATGATATCAATCTTATTGTTTGAACAAAATATTAAGATGCTGGGGATCAATCGCAGGCTCTGGGAGGACAGAAAAGTAGCAGCTGGGCTTCAATATGGGCACATACGAGGATGATGGGATATACGAACCTGCAAGGGCTTCCTTAACAAAATCCCCCAGACTGTGGGAGGCTTCCACAAAAGACACGTATCTGCTCACAGCTCCAGAGGCTGGGAGGAGGTCTGAGATGAAGGTTTTCGGCGGGCTTGGTTTCTTGGAGGCCTCTCTCCTTGGGCTGCAGAGGTCCACGTTCTCCCCGCGTCTTCCATCATCTTTCTGTGTGTGTCTGTGTCCTGACTTCCTCTCCTTTATAAGCACACAGATTGGGTTAGGACCTACCCCAATGACCTCACTGAACCTTTATCACCTCTGCCAAGACCCTGTCTCCAAATACAGTCACATTTTGGGGTCCTGGGGGTTTGGACTTCAACATACAAATCTTTTGGGTAGGGGGGGCACAGTTCAGCCTTTAATGGAGGAAAAATGATGCTGTTTCCATCAGATAATGGGAAACAAAACCCCAGAAAGGGAACTAGAGGTTACTGTGGGACACCGAGTGACTAAGGTGATGGTGAAGCCCTTCCATTCTCTGGTTCCCAGACACCCAGCTGACAATGTAAGTCCCTCTTTCCTGTATCACAGCATGCCTGGAACACCCATGTGTCCCCTTAGCTATGTCTTAAGCATCCCATCACCACTGGGAGATGTATCCTGAAACTTGGAATGTGAAGGCCATAGCAACTTAAGAAATGCTGTGCTCCGAACACAGGGCTTCTGGCCCCTTGAGATGTCTCAGATCACAGTCCCTGGGAAGTTTTGTAGGATGGTGCCAGTCCGGCCGAGTGCTGTGCTAGATGTTGTGAGAACAAAAGGGAGCTGGACTCAGGTGTCCTCACTCTCCAGAACCTGGCCCCAGGGACAAGACATATGCTCCTGAGTGGTGGCCAGGACTGCACATGCTGTAGAGGCTCCGACGGCTTGAGAGTTAGAGACACATAATAA